CTGGCTAATCTGATTGTGTCTAATTGAGCAGCAGCTGTTTAGTCCTCAGCTCTGCTTCCCTAAGCTGTGCTCCTGAAAGTTTCTCCGTCAATCATTTCCGAACACACAGACTCGTATATTGGTTAGCTCGTGTTTGCGTGTAATCACTCATTCATTCTTTCACATGTGGCCGCTGCACGGTGGTATGGGGGAGTCAGGCGACCATCCTGGGGGTGTGTCACGTGCCTGATCCTGAGGAGCCTGGCAGAAGGAGTCGGGGAGCCTGGGGGTGCTGCCGCCCCCTCCCTCAATGGTTAGCATGGTACCCGGCAGCTACTTTGCTTCCTTCCCTCCCTAGACATCCACTGCCAACTCCTGGGTCCTGTTCGTCCCCAGCCCCTCCCAGATGGCTCGCTGGGCTCCGTGGGCCTCCTCTCTTTCCTGCCGCTGATGGGGAATGTGGGTTGTCTCTCCCGGCTGCTAGCTTCCTTCAGGCAGCTTCCCCACGGTCCCTCTGCCCTCGGTGGTTGCCCTGCCGGGGCTGTTCCTGCCTACTGTCAGGAGCCCCCCCACCCCACGCCTGGGTCTCCGCTTGGTTGGCTCCTGCCCCACAGTCTCCAGGAGCAAAGGTGTTCCCTGCAAACCTCACTCCCTGTCGTAGTTCTGGATTGTCTTAAGATTTGTGTTGGGCATCTTGGCTGCCTACCTCCCACCTCCCGGACAGAGGGGGCACCTGTTTTTTTCCACGTTTCCAAGCCAAAGCTTTGGAGTCCCTGCACCTGCAAGGTTCTTGATGAACCCCTAGTTTCTGAACAAAAGAGCCAGAGCCCCAGCCAGCCAGGAGCCCCCAGAGGGACCCTCAGAGAGGCTGGACTTCCAGGGAGTAGGAGGAGCTGGAGGTCAGTCAGGGATGTTGAGGCTCCCCCCTGCACCCCAGCACAGCTCCAGCCTCCCACTGCAGCTTCTGCCACCTGTGTCTTCCTCGTCCGCTGGCTTCCAAGTGGCAGGCCCGGGCCCAGCGTGGGCTTTTGTCTCTGCGTCTTCCCGGATGAGTGACCTTAGACATGTTTCCCTGTTTCTGTGGGTCTGTTACTGGAGGCAGCAATGGCTGTAAGAAAGGGACACAGTCCCAGGGCTGTGCTAAAGCCAAGCAGGTGGAAAGCAGCTGCAAACCTGAGCTCTCATCTGCATGGCTGCCCTGTCCCCCAGTTCCCTGTTTGTCTCTGAGCCCTTCCTGCAGCAGCCCCACCACGGTGCCCTGGGATGAACCCCTGGCTGCCTTGCCGAGCCTGCTTTGGACGTGGGAGCTGCATCCACATTGCGCATGAAACGTGTCCCTGCTGCCAGCCGGACCAGCTCTTGGTGGCCCCAGGTGGAAGGGCTCAGCAGCAGCCCCTCAGCTCCTTTCCACCATCTTTGTCTCCTTCTTGGAGTCCCACCACCCCCTAGCCCAGGGGCCTGGTCCTTCCATGCTGTTATCATCAACAGGAAGATACTGCCCAGTGAACACATTCTCAGCTGCCATTAGCTTCACCGTGGCTTTAAGGACTAACACACAGGCAGGGCAGCTGTGTCCCGAGCAGGGGTGTTGGAGGGAAGGGGACAGAGGCAGACATGGGGCTGTGCCTGGTTCGCTCAGTTGTTTGTGTCTGGAAATGCACGGCCCCGGCTGTGGATGGCTCCCTCGGGGGCTCTACCAGCCCTTCTCTGGCTCCCCCTTCCACGTCTGTGCAAAGCTCTGGTCCTGGGGTCAGCCAGCTCTCTGGCTCCTTCCCACCATGATCCTTGGGACTAGGGAGGCCTTGGGCATCTGCCTACTGCCTGCCCAAGCCCATGTGCATGCGCGCCTGCTCAGCTTCCCTTTCCCACATGCCAGAAGAGGTGTGTGGCCCTGCCCTGTCCTTCCCATGAGAGCCCGCCCCGCCTCTGCCAAGGTCTTGGACCTGGCCATTTCCCAGCAAGGAGAAAATAGCAAGAAAAACAGATGGGAGCTGATAGCCTGTGCTGCAGGGTCTGCTGGGACGTGGTCCTGGAGGAGCCCCAGGAAAGCTTTAACCCCGGGGCTCCAGGCAGGCGGAAGTACCAGGGAAGAGGAGGGGAGGGCGCACCCTACAAGCTGCCCCCTTCCCTACCCGAGACCTACTCTCTCTTGGTAGGCCCTGATGGTCTTCAGGCTGAGCAGCAGCCCCAGGGTCCCGTGGTGCACCCCGGTCGCAAGCAGGTGTCTTCTTCCAACAGCTCCCCCCCCCCCGCCCACACACTGCCCCTATAAAGTCCCCAGGCCAGGGACCATCCACACCTGAAGTTTCACAGTTGGCCTGGGGTGCTGGAGGACTGAAGCCAGACTACATTTGGAGTCTAGAGCTCTAGGGAATTCTGCTATCTGCTACGCTGGCTCACAGGTGGCCGTGGTCACCTGAGTTATGACCTGGACAGGGCTTTGTCTGTGAAAAATGTGATGCCAACCAGAGAAGTGCTGGACAGTGGGGAGGGCAGGAAGCAGCCTTCCCCTTCCTCCCACTGCTGGAGCCCCCTTGGTCCTGGCCCGGCCCTCCACATGGTAACACCAAGGAAGTGTCCTGTAGAAGGGCCCACGTTCCTCTGGTCTCTCCCAGAACACTACCCTCCTTGTCATCTTCTTTGCTTTACTTCTTTGAAAGGCAGTGAGATGGAGAGGAAGAGAGATACAGAGAGAAAGCCATCTTCCATCCTCTGGTTCATGCCCCAAATGGCCACAATGATTGGGGCTGGGCCAAGCTAAAGCCAGGATTCCAGAACTCCATCTGGGTCTCCCACATGAGTGGCAGGGGCACAGGTACTTGGTCCATCTTCTGCTGCCTCCCAGGATGCCTTAGCAGGAAGCTGCATCAAAAGTGGAGCAGCCACGACTCAAACGGGGGCTCCTGTATGGGATGCAGGTACTGGGGCTGCAGCTCAGCCTGCCCTGCCCGGAACTCCTTTGGTGGCATTTGTGTGCTCTGCTCCGTGTGAGAGAATGAGCTTGTCAACAACAGGTTCTGAGCAAGGGATTAGAACAGCCCTGCGTCTATGTTGGCTGAGCACACAGAGGTCTCAGAGTTGTCACAGGAGCGAGTGGGTGTGGGGGCGTGGTGGGGCAGAGATAGAGTGGTATCAGCAGCTCGTGGCTCCCGGAGCATCTGCCCTTGGCCGTGTCCTTGGGTCCTCAGACAGCAAAGCAAGTCTTGTTTTCCAGAGCAGGGCAGGGGCTGGGGGTGGTGGGGACATGTTGAGCTGACTAGTGGCAGACCCGGTTCCAGAGGTCCCTGTTGGTGCTGGAGGCCGTGTCTGGCTTCTCCCACCCTGCAGATTGTCACCCTTCTGCCCACCCCACAGCTGCACAGAGCAGGAGGGCTAAGAGAGAGGCTTTGTAACCCCGCTGGGACCATTGACCAGGGTGCCAGGGACCTCATGCCCCATCACCAGGAGGAGAAAGCCACCCATTCTGCAGGCCGGGGACTGGGAAATCAGGACACAGCTCCCCTGTCCTGCGGCTCAGGAGTGAGGCAGGAGGACACTCTGTCCACCTCCGGACACCCCCAAGGCTGTCCTGGAAAATAACAACTGGGCACGCTCTGATGTTCTGTTTTGCAGCCGCTTCTGTGTGTAGAGCCAGGTGGCCCCAGCCCTTGGCACTCCCTCCAAGACCAGTGTGTGTGGGCAGAGGATGCGATGGTGCTAGTCGTGCTGGCCTAGAGGGAAGCAGGCAGCCCATGAGACAGAGAAGAACTCAGGCTTCTGGGAGGGGAGGGGCCAGCCCTGATGTTTCCGTCTTGTCTGTGGATGCTAATGGGGAAGCCCTGCCCCCTGGCAGCTTCTTATGGATGCATGATGGTCTGCATTGGTCTGTGTGCTTCCTGACTTTCCTGTGTGAGCAGAGAACAATGCCTACCGCACCGAGCACTTGACAAGTGTTTGCTGAGCTTGCACAAATACATGGAAGATTCTAACATGCTGCAGAGGCTTGGTGAACATCATTTTTCTCTCCTGAGAATCATTCCTGGTCAGCACAAGGGCACAGAGCTGGCTATTTCATTTTTATTATATGTTTTATTTATTTATTTGTAAGGCAGTGATGGGGAGGGGGAGAAAGACTAAGAGAGGGTACTTTTATCTGCTGGTTTACTTCCCAAAATGGCCACAATAGCCAGGGCTGGACCAAACCAAACCAGGAGCCTGGGACACCAGCCTGGTCTTCCACGTGGGTGCATGAGCTCCAAGATGTGGGCTGTCCTCCACTGCTTTCCCAGGAGCATTAGCAGGAAGCTGGTTGAGAAGTGGAATAGCCAGGACTTGAAGCAGTGCTCATATAAGTTGCTGGCTGCCTATGCTGGTTCAATGTGCTATGCCACACACAGACCCCACCAAAGGGTGGTTCTTGACATCTACCTGTTAGGGTAATGGGAGCAAAGATGGAGGTGGAGATGGGGCACTGGTATGGGCGGGGCAGATGGGATGCGGTTCAAAGAATAGGGGTGCAGGAAGGTTTGCTTGGGACACATGTGTGGCTGGCCCCAGGGGAGTAGGGGCTGCTAATCCCCTGGCTGCTTTAGGCAGGATAGAAGGGTGAGGAAGCCTGGGGCAGTGCTGTCAGCTTCTGCCAGTCCTGGACCACTCACAGGGCTGAACCAAGTCTCATTTCCTCATCTGTGAAATGGGCCAGTGCTTTCAGTGCCCAGAAGGGGCTATGGCCAGGCTGCAATGGGATGAGTGACAGAGGGTGTGCCCCGCATAATGTGAGTGACTTTCTCTTGGTTCTGAAAGTGGCTCCTGAGTTACCATTCATTTGGGGTCCATTTCCATGCAGAAGAAACGAGCCAGTGCAGCACCCTATATCTGAGGTGCTGTACACACACCCCCCCACCTGCACACAATGAGTTTCCCACTCACTGGGCCCAGATGGGGAGGGGACCTTCTCTCAGGGGTCAGGTGAGGCTCCCCAGGGACCATTCCCAGGTGACTGGGGGTGGCGGTGCCTCACCCTCTGCCCTCCTCATCCGCAGGTACAAGACGGTGGTGACCCCACGGAGGGCAGCGGTGGCCATCGCCGGCTGCTGGCTCCTGTCTCTTGTGGTGGGGCTGACCCCCATGTTCGGCTGGAATAACCTGCAGGAGGTGGAGCAGGCGTGGGTGGCCAACGGCAGCGTTGGGGAGCCGGTGATCAAGTGCGAGTTTGAAAAGGTCATCAGCATGGAGTACATGGTGTACTTCAACTTCTTCGTGTGGGTGCTGCCCCCGCTGCTGCTCATGGCCCTCATCTACCTGGAGGTGTTTTACCTGATCCGCCGGCAGCTCAACAAGAAGGTGTCGGCCTCGGCTGGTGATCCGCAGAAGTACTATGGCAAGGAGCTCAAGATCGCCAAGTCACTGGCCCTCATCCTCTTCCTCTTCGCCCTCAGCTGGCTGCCGCTGCACATCCTGAACTGTATCACCCTCTTCTGTCCCACCTGCCACAAGCCCAGTGTCCTTGTCTACACCGCCATCTTCCTCACACACGGCAACTCGGCCATGAACCCCATCGTTTATGCCTTCCGCATCCACAAGTTCCGCGTCACCTTTCTTAAGATCTGGAACGACCACTTCCGCTGCCGGCCCGCGCCGCCTGCGGTCGCAGCCGCCACTGCTGCCGAGGACCTACCAGACGAGCAGGAGGGGAAGCCCAAGGACTAGGCACTGCCTGCCCTCTGCTCCCCCACCTGAGCTGTGGAGGCCCCAAAGAGAGATGGAGGCTGGGGAATGGGGTGCTTCTCCCAGGAGTACACCCCTGCACCCTAGGGTCCTGGGGACGTGGTGGGGAGGGAACCTGCAGCCTGGGCCAAGAGCAGGGTCTCGAGCACCGTCGCCTTCTTCTGGGGACTGAGCAGGGCCCTGTGGAGGCCAAGAGTACAGAGGGACTGATGGGTTTTTGCCTGAAGGGGGTCCGGTACATAGGAGGGGCGTGTCTTGGCCTTGCTTTCTCCCTTCCTCTGTGGGAGGAGGCAGCCAGAAGCAGCTAAGGGTCAGTAATCAAAGAATCTCTGTCCCTACCTCAAAGGGACTCTGCACAAGGAAGCCCAGGATTGCACCTGGCAGGGGCAGAAAGAGTGGGTCCAAAAGTTGTTTCTGACCTTAGCTTTTATTCTCCATCAGCCCTTGAACTAGGGGCAGGGTTCGCACCTCCCCATTGTCCCACCCCTCAAACCCCTCCCCCAAACACATACACACAAACACACTAGGAGTGTGGAGTGCTGGGTGCTGGCCTCACACAACCACTAGGCGGCAGCACCAAGCCCTCCTTGCTCTACTGTCCCCTGGAGGAGCCTGGCCCCAGTGGGAGTGCCATGGGGGAGTGTGGTGGTTTGTGCAACCCAGTGCTCACTGGAGCTGTCGTGGGGGGACAAGTGGCAGGCTGGAACCAGCCGGAGGAGACCATTCATGAGAAATGCTGGGGATCAGTTGTGGCTCAGTGTGGAACCTTTAGGGGTCTGGGGGAAGCCTGGCCTGAGACACCCTTTCTGGCGCACACGATTGTGGGGGGGAGGGTATCAGGCCTTCCTTCTGTCGGGGACTGGGTGGGAGGCTGCAGGACTAATAAAAGGCTAGACCCTGGTAGTGAGCATGGCGCTAACGCTGTCAGGGATGTGGGGGAGCAGTGGGATTGGGGGAGAGATGCGGAGGCTGCAGGAGCCCAGGGTTCCCTCCAGGGTGTGTCTGTTGCTATGGTTACACAGGCACCTAGGGTGAATCAGACAGCAAGAGTCTAAACACTCACACATCAGGGAAAGTCCCCGTAAGACCCAGAGCTCCCTTCACTGGCTCCCTCACAAGGATGCCGGACGGCGCCCCAGGTGACTCCACACTTCATGGTCAGAGGCCCCTGGCTGCAACCACAAGCCTTTATTTGATGCTTCTTGCCCAGTGCACAGCCCCGTGCCCACTTCAGCTCCTGCACATTTCTGGTCTTTTCCACCCTGGAAGCATGCTCCCGGGGGGCTCGCTATGCCCACCTGTAACTTCTGGGCTCCAGCCAGGGCAGGCGGAGCCAGCGGCAGCAGAGGGAAGCCACGGCTGTGAAAGTGGGAGTCTGGGGTCTTGGTGAAGTTGGATCCTCAGGCTGCAGCACCTGCTGGAGAAGGTGCTTCCTGAGCCCTGGTGCGGGGTGGAGCGTGGCTGCTGCCAGAGGTGCGGGGCGGTGAGGGGGTTGGGGAGGAGAAGGAAAGAGGGGTGCAGCAGGTGGAACGCAGCACCTTCCACTCTCCCAGGGCCTCCCTCCCTAGCCTGCCCTGCAGTACTACACGCTTCCTTATGCAACGCTGAAGAATGCCAGGGAAGGGGTAGGGGCTCCGTATCCCTACCTCTATGTAAAGTCACTCAGCATGGCCTGGCTCTGCAATGTCACCGTGCTTTTCCACACTGGTGCACTAGCTGCCCGTGCCTGCACATTTGCATCCTGAGCTGACCGTCCCCCTCCCAGCCCAGCCCCTGTTTAGAGGGAGCAGGGGTGGGGGCCCAGCCAGTCACCTGCCTTGTAGGCACGGCTTCCTCCCACCGTGGCTCTTCAGTGTGTGGCTGAGGCTGCAAGAGACCTGCAGGTTAGAGCTTGGCTAGGGGAGGAGGGGAGGAAGGGGGGAGTTACCAGGTGGGAGGATGGGGGAAGGGAACCGCAGAGGGTCATGGCTACACGCCTCTCCCCACACTCCTGGCCTTCACTCTCCTGTCCTCCTGCCTTGGATTTTCAGCTGCATCTAGTTCAAGTTCTCCTGTTCTCCTGATGCTCTCCAGCTCACCTTTGACCTCCAGCCGGCATTCCACCGAGGCCTCGCCCAGCACGTTGACCGCCTTGCAGGTGTAGACGCCAGAGTCAAAAGGGCTAGGCTTACGAATCTCCAGGGTGCAGATCCCCTGCTCGGAGATGGCTCGGTACTTGGGATCGCCCTGGATGTCCATCTTGTTCTTCATCCAAATGATCTTGGGCTGGGTGGAGTCATGGTCAGGGCAGAGCTGGGATGCCAGCCTCGGGGTGGGGTAGACAGGCCTGGGTGATGCCCCCACCCCTGCACTCCTCTAACTCCTCACCTTGGGTGACGCTCGGACACTACAGAAGAGTTGAGTGCTGTAGCCCGGTGTGGAGGTGTGGTCAGCCAGGGGCTGTGTGAATGAAGGGGCTTCTGAGAAGTCTCGCTCGACAAACCCTTTGGGTTTGGCTACAATACCTGGGTTTGGAGAGAAAATGGGGGCAGCTCTGAGGGTGTAGAAATGGGGGCACCCTAAGAAACTCCTCATCTAAGCTTGCAGGGGAATTTCAGGGAGCATGCCTTTCAGAGGCCCGGGATGGGGAATGGAGTGGGTAGGCCAGCGGCTGGCCTGGTGGCAGTCTGTGTCCTGGCACAGTCTGTGTCTGGCTGGCTTTTTTTTTACTTTTCTAAATGAAAACTTTGAATTCTGTGCAGCACAAGACGGTGTTAAAAAGAAGGTATCTGGTGGAGCCTGCAGGACATTGGGGACCAAGACCTGGGACTTAGTGCTGGATGCAGGGGTGCCTGGCACCTGCTGAGATGGACAAGAGCACCCCTCTCCTGTTTGATCGGCCGGCCAGCTGCGTTTTCTCTGGACCCAGAACTCTGTGCATCCAGCAAACAGCCCTGAGGCTGCCTGGCCGTGTGCATCAAGATCTCCTGGGATGCAGTGGTTGTGTGGGGCTGGCAGAACCAGTGCACAGCTTCCTGCTCATTTGCATGGGTCTGCTGTGCTGCGTTTGCTGAAATCCGTCAGCTGCATCCATTACTTCGATTTCAAGCCTGTGTGTGTGTGTGTGTGTGTGTGTGTGTACGCGCACGCGTGCGCACGCACCCACACACCCCTGCTGTGAGGCGGGAGGGCAGCAGATATCCCTGGGAGCGGGCACCCAGGAGAAGCCACAGAGCCGTGGTGACCCTGGGAAATGCTGGCCCACCCACCTGCCTTCTGGATGTGCGCCAGCTCCTTGGTGACTGTGGCTGAGTCACTGAGGCCACACAGGTTTTCGGAGAAGACCCGGAAGGAGTAAGAGTTGCCAACGATGAGATCGGAGATGGTGCAGGTGGTGGGGTGGTAGCGTTCCAGCACCGTGAACCATTGCTGTGGGGACAGAGCAGCTGGTCACCCTTGCCTGGCTTCTCCCTCCCTGCCAATCAGCAGCCCCCTCCTCAGCGGCACTTGCTCACTCCATGCCCCAACCTGGGGGACCTGGGTCAGCCGGGGGGCCTTAGAGAATCTGCAGCCTCAGCTTCTCTTAGAAGGGCAGGCACTCAGCCCCTGAGCAAGGCTCCATGTGTTCATTTCCATACACAGGAAACTTCCAGAGCATGAACAGAGGAGGGGGTAGCAGCTCAGAGAAGGGGCTGGTCCTGGCCGGGGCCCCGCAGGGAGTCAGAGTGGTGGTCCTTAGCATCCCCAGCAGGCGGGTCCCTCGTCTCCGACTTCACCTGCCACACGGCTCACCCCTGTCTTCTTGTCTGCCTTCTGCACCGTGTACCCAAGGAGTTCTGTGTTGCCCGTGTCCTGGGGTGGGCTCCACTCAAGAGCGGCATTACAGCCCCACACATCTAGGAGCTTGATGCTGCTGGGGGGCCCAGGTTTCTCTGCAGGACCAGAGGGCAAGGCATGGGTGTCAGCACCCGGCAGGCCTGCCTCCCGGTCCTCACAGCCTGATGTGGTTCCTGCCAGGCCCCATGGGCCATGCCCCACTCTCCCTGCCAAGCTGGGTGCTCCTGCACCCTGGCCCCCTTACCAATCACCAGGATGTCGATGGCTGCCTTGGCCTCCAGGTCTTCCAGCCGCACAGTGAGCTCATAGCGGCCCGAGTCACAGCGCTGGGCCGAGCGGATGAAGAGGATGGAGTCCTGCTCGCCGCTGCGCACATTCACGCGCTGCGTGTCCAGGGCGTGGCCATCATGGGTCCAGGAGGCCTGGGGCTTGGGCTTGCCCTGATGGAGAGCAAGCCGCAGGGTGAATGCAGGCAGGGGCCCACAGCCCCGGAAAGAGGGCAGACCTGCCTCCCCTACTACCCTCATCTTCTCAGCCTCTGACCACTGAGTCACATGCCCAGTTGAGAGTGCACGAGGCCACCCTGGTGGATCCCAGGTAGGCCCCCATGGGGGTCCTGACACTCCCCAGGCTCCCTGCAGGGACCCACCTGAAAGGGGATCTGCAGGTTGATGGCTTCTCCCACGCGGCGGATGTAGGTCTGACGGAGGTGGCGGGGGACGCGGATCTTGGGGGCCTCTGCATCAGAACGAGAGTCCAGGCTTAGCACAGCAGTGGGGCAGCTGGGGAGGACAGTTGGCTGGCAGGTGGCAGGCGGCCTTGGTATGTCCTGGCTGCCTCCCCATGGGGAAAGGCGGAGTTCTCACTGCTCCAGATCTAGAGGACCCCATCCCCATGAGGTCTTCAGGGAGCTGAGAAATGAGAGGTTGCTGGCAGGACAGGGCCACCGTGGTGTGAACTGGTAGGCATCTTGGGCACTGCCTTCTTGGTACCTTGACCTGGTTAGGCTGAGATTTGCCTGCAAATCCCCAGACTCCAGATGGGGCCGACAACCTCTCGGTCTCCCCCTGGTGGGGAGCGGGCAGTTCACCTGTTGCACTGCTGGGAAAAGGCAGCCTAGTCTTTCTCCTAGGAAACCAGCACAAGATACCTGACACCACCTCAGAACAGGACTTTCTGGGAACCCTCTTTGCCCACCCCTCCTAGGTCCTACTGGGAGGATTTTGGGGTTTTCCTTATGCACTCCTCCCACAATCTTTCCATCTTGCTGCTGGCAGGTCGTTCTTGGACTTGTCAGCCCCCTGCTAGACAACCACCTTCTCACACATCTAGCCAGGTGCACTCACTAAGCATTGCCAGTGAGGCTGCCTCAGCAGCTGCCCTTCCCCCTGGGTGGGTGCTGGAGCCAGGACTGGGGCTCCTCTGTGGCAAACAGGTGGCAGCAGTTGGCTGGTGGCATGCAGAACGCGGAGGAGACAGTGAGAAGGGACACTGTGTCTCCAAGGATTAGCTGAGCGGGCACTGGGCTCTGGAGCCTCGGGCTTGGAATGCTTCAAGGGCAGCTGCAGGGGGCCAGGAATGCTTGGCAGCCCCAGGTGGCCGGGAGGGACAGCTGTCCCGGGAGGCTCCTGGACAGGGCCCTGCCCCACCCTGTCCTGAGGGGCCTGGCTGTTCTTTACTTGCTCTGGGCCTCCTCAGCCCCTTCTCTCCAGGAAATCCCTTCTTGTCCTGCCAGAGGCACCTGCATGGAGCAAAGAGCGTGGAGCTGGCCCCCTTCAGCAGTGATGCACCCCGGGGGACATCTCTGAGGCTGAGCTCCCTGGGGTCCTTTGGTGATGGATGGGGGGACCTGTGGTGAGGTGCAGGATGCTGCAGGCCACTGCCAGGCCAGCCAGGCAGCTGTAGTTGCTGCCACCAGGGTGGAGGTTGCATCTCATCCGGAATGTGCAGGCTTTGGAACCCCAGGCCTGGCCTAGGAGGGCTAGGGGCAAGCATGGGCTCCTGGGGACCTGCTTGGTCTGGCTACCATGATCCCTGAGTCTCAAACTTGAACCCAAACTCAACCCCATTCTGTAGTCTCAACACTTTCTCCTAGAGGTCTCTCTAGACCCCTGGAGGTAGGGTTCTGTCCCCCAGCTCTGCTGAGAACTGGCTGAGGCAGAAGGTGGAGAAAGCTCCAGGCCACCTGCTTGTCCATGTCTCTTCTCACCCTGGGGCCCCATGCTGTCTCTAGAGACGCGAGATCGGACCCAGTGACTCACCGCCATTAACAGACCGAAACCTGACCAGCCCTGGCAGGGGAATGGGGGCGGGTTTGAGGCTAATACACCCTGCAAATAGAAATATTAGCCACAGGGACAGCAGCTGGCCTCCAGTGGCCAGTGGGTGCTGCCTTGTGAGGATGGAGAAGTTATGTGGCCATTCTGCATTCTGCGGCCTTTTCTTCTTCTTCCCGCCAGGGTCACGTTGTGAGCAGGGCCTTCTTGCTGCTGCAGACCCCGAGGGGAGGTGGGGACCCATGGGGCCCAGGACATTCCCCTGGTGCTGCTAAGGACTGAAGATCAGACAGGAGGGAGTACAGAAAGGTCATCGAACCTGGGTCCCAGGGACCTGGAGCTTCTGTTGGTGGCCATGGCAAAGCCCCTCCCCCAGGCTTGGCCCACTCAGCTCCAGAGGGCCCTGGCTGCCTGGGAAGCAGGACCTCCCTACAAGCAGGTGTGTGTGAGTGTGGCGAGGCGGGCTTGCCTTCCAGCAGGTGAGAGCTGGGCAGCAAGATGACGAGGGGCTTTACCGATGGTCTCCAGGATGTGGACAGGCTGTTCCAGCACGGCCGGCGGGCCAGCACCCGCCCGGCTCACGGCAGTCACGCGCAGGAAGAACTTGTCCCCCAGGGCTAGGTTCCGCATCGTCTGCTGGGTCACCATCAGGGGCCGGGCATTCACAGGTACCCACTCTGAGGCTGGGCAGGAGGGCAGAGAGAGGGGGTGGGGAGGGTATGAGGCCTTGTCCGTGGGCTTTGCCTTCTTGCTGGTTGTCTGGGAACACTGACCCCCCATCTATGGGTCTGTCTCCCCCTTGCCATGCCCACCCCAACTTCTGAGTTCCCAGCAGCATCAGAGACACATCATGGCCTTATAGTAGTGGCCAGAGGTGAGAAGGACGAAGCCAGAGAGGGCTGGATACATTTGCAAAGTCACACAGCGAGGTTGGGGGGCCTCGCCATGCCTCCTCATTCTCTCATGGCCTGTCCCTCTATAAGTGGGGTCTTTTGATGCATAGCTGACTATCAGAGGTCCCTGGTGGGGCAAGAGGGGCAGGGATGGATGCCTCCCCATCTTCTGTGACTCCCTGAGCAGCCCCAGTGCCCAGCCCCTCTCCTCACCACCCAGTACTCACCTCCTTCCCGGCGGAATTCCAGCACATAACCCTGGAGCCCCAGCTTTCCCAGGCGCTCTGGGGGCTCCCAGCTCACGGTCACTGAGCTGCTGCTCACATCCTCCAAGGCCAGCCGCAGGGGGGCGCTGGGAACATCTGTGCGGGAAGTCAAGGTGAGCTCAGGAGCCCCCTCCTCTCCTTATTCCTGTCCCCCGCCCCGCCCCGCGCCACCCCTGGTCACCTTCACTGAGGGGGGCAGGTTTTGTGGCTGCAGGGGCTTCTGCAGGGGCCGCGGGGGCCTCAGGGGTAGGTTCCTGAGAGACAGGGTCCTGCAGCTGTGGGGGCTGCTCCTCCGACGCTGCTGCTGCTGCTGCTGCTGCAGACTCAGTGCTGGGCGCCTTGGCAGACTCAGCCGTTGCCTCCTCCGTGCTGGGGGCAGGGGTCTCAGAGGCGGCTTTTCCCGTCATTGCTGGGCAGGCTGGGGCTCGCACTGCTGTGAGCAGGGTCGGTGTGGAGGGCCTGGGGCTCCAGGATGCCTGGGCCACCTCGGTCTGGGTTTATATAGCTAGGGGCTGCCCCGCCCCCTGCCAACGATTCTCAGCTGTGGGGTCAGGTCAGGTGGGGGGCTGGGAGCAAGGCGTCCAGGCTAGGAATAGATCTGGGGGAGGAAGCGCACAGGCCCCTTGAGGCGCTCACTCCCTTGTCCAGCACCCTGGCTGTGCCTGGCCACCAGAGTGCCGCTGCCCGGGGAGTGGGGGAGGGCGTGTATGGGAGAGCTGGGACTTGGCTGGGGGCCGGTGCCAGGTGACAGGGCTGTGGGGAGAGTGTCCATCTGGGGACGGAGACCAGACTGAACTCTGAGTGTCTCTGGGGCCACCTGTTTCCGGGGCTTCTCACACCAGGGAGTGGGGCTCAGAGTCCCCCGACACATTTCCCTGGGGTCTGCAGGCCTCTAGGACTCTCCCCTGTGCTGTGTGAGGTTGAGGGAGTGGGATGGGGTTCTGCAGGACACCAGGGGCTCAGGGTGTCAGGAAGAGTGGGCATCTCGGAGCTCACGGTTGAGCACATTGCCTGTGGCAGGGAAGGGTCTGTGGGTTCTGCCACAGCATGGCAGGTGCACAGGACAAGGGGCATCAGGAACCTGCCCTGCCAGAATGCACCTGCTCCAAGTCTCAGTGACCTTGGTGCAGTCAGGAGGGGCGTACTCCACGGCCCGATCACCTACAGACGGCCTCACTTCTTACTGCCACTGCCTGGGTTCATGGTCAGCCTTCTTTGGTTTCCCTTTGGTACACAGAACCCTTTGCCCTGGGGGTTGGGACAAATTGGAGGTGGATCTTGGAAAGGCACTACTGCTGGAAAACAGCTTTCAGAATCTTCTAGATTCTTTGAAGCAGGGTGTGGGTGGGAGCGTTCCCAGTATAGGGCAAATGAGACATCTAGACATGGATTGAATAAAACATTAGCCCAGGTCATGCCTTGAAAAGCCACAACAGTAAGAAGTTACAACCATTTTGTAGGCATGACAGTTCTGACAGGGCTGATGGGTCTGCTTGGCAGCACCCCAGCACCACCCCCAAATGCCCACTTCTGTGCCCTAGGAGGTAGGGAGGGGAATGTGTGCAGTAGGGCAACCCCGAGCTCTGGGGGACACGGCTGGCTCCAGTGGAAGCATAGAGAAATGACCGGCATCTTTGTAAACCTTAAAGTGAAATACAAGGTGAAGAGGGCTGGGCATGGGGCAATGCACGAGACTGCACGGCCCTCCTGGGCAGCAGAAGGAGCAAGCCACGCAGAAATGCTGTCCTCTCGTGGGCTGGAAGCTTGTTCAAGATGCAGTGAGCTCGCTGCACCCAGGGATGCCAGTTGTGGCCAAGTCAGACGGAAAGTCAGGTGATGATCAAAACAGAAGATGGGGTGGGGGTGGCCTACAGAGGTGGGATAGGGGTGTGTCCTCGAGGTGTACTCAGGAGAGACTTGCTGTTCTGAGTGGAGGCCGCACAGGTGTTCCCTCAGTGATGATTCATATCTGACATATTCCTTCCAAGCATATGTCTGTCAGTTTCAGAATCAACAGTCCTGTCATTTCTTTAGCAATAGATAACATGCTACCCTTTCTTGGGGCTGGCTATCCTAGCTGGGTCCAATAGTAGAGGGCCCCTCTGGTGGCGCCCATGGCCTCCGGCTGGCGATTCAGTGTCCTGCTGGACAAGGAGCAGTCCTTGGAGACCCGATCTTCATCCTTGGCCTCTGACTCTGCAGCTATAAGCAAATGTGACTAACCCTGCAGCTCCCTGAGTCAGCCCTGGAGAGCCTGCCCAGGCTGGGGGAAGGGTGGCCCCAGGGGACGCGGGCTGGCGGCCACTGCCATGGGGTGGGCTGAGCAGCGGGCAAGGATCAGGCGACACTTGGCCCCACTGGCCAGCAGTGAATGCCACGTACCCTTCTGAGTGCTGGCCAAGGCCCTTGCTTCCCCTGCCTTTAAAGGGGCTGTGACCTTGGGGGTCAGGTGCATTTGCCCTGCTTCAGCTGGTTTGGATTTCAAGGCCACCGGCAGGTATTCTCTTCCCTATTTCTCAAACCAGAGTCACAAACCATCCGGCCACATCAAGATCCTTCCAAGTCACAGACAACCCGAACATCAGGGACTCCGGGCACAAGTTCCAGCCATCTATGGAGCCCCCGCTGCAGCATCCCAGCTCATCCCAACCGTCTCCGACCAGAGCCCCAGGCCAGCCTGAGCCGAGATGCCCTGAGCGCTGTGCCTCTGAGTTGAGGGAGCAGAGTGAGCAGCAGGGGAGCCCAGGACATGGGACAGCCCTTGGATTCCACCCAGCCCTGCAGCGGGAGGCTTGCCTCCAGACAGAGGTGCCTGTCACTGGGGGTTGCCCTGCAGAGACACGCCCCCAACCTCAGAGGACAGGGAGAGGGCATAAGATGACATTCAGGGTTCTTCGCTGTGCCTGGTCCTATAATGAGCTCTCACTATCACCCACCGTGATAGGAAGAGATGAAAAGCTAGATGAAGGGCCTTTGGCAAGAAGCTAAATTTCTTGCAATAAAAAACTGAATTGGGAGACCACAATGATTGCTGGAAGGCCTGCAGCTTGGCTTGGCTAAGTCCACAACAGGTGACACAGGAACTGCTAGAGTCTCCCCTTGAGGGTTACTGGGCCTGGCATAGCCGGACGTGGCAGCTTTATCTTGGACCCCCAAGGCTCAGAAAGAAGAATCCAGAGGAGTGGCAGAGCAGAGCCCCTTGGGGGGTGGGGTCCAGTGTCCTACAAAGATAGACCAGAGCTAGGACTGAGTGATAAGCTATGCTGCTTTATTGAATAGTTGTGGGATTAAGAAAGGGAAGGGAGAGAGGGGCTGCGATTATATTCCTATGAGGAGGTTGCAGGCTGGGCAGAGGGTATAAATGGTAGGGTCACTGGGTACTGGAGGACCTGGGGCTGCTTCTTCTCCTTTAATAGGCATGACCATGAGCAGGAATTCAAAAACGTACCCTTGCACCAGCATTTCCACTCATCAGCAGGTGTACCTTGCACTGTGCTGGCCCACAGTCCCCACAGCCCCATGCCCTGTGCACCCCATCTTACACACTGTGCTGCGTTCCACACTTGTTCCCAGGCTCAACTCAGGACTCCATGGTGCAGGTGGATCCTGGGCTGAGGGGAGAGTGGCCTCCGCAGCCCCCACCTTCCTATCCCTGCCCCACACAGAGTGTAGGACAAGGGGCAGGCTAAGGCGCAGCCAGGGCATCCCTGATGGCATTGGTGAGAGGGAAGCGTAGGTTCTGGCCACAGAATGAGCCGCGGAAGTCATCCAGGTCCAGCGCCCACACCATGGCCCCCGCCAACTGCCTGCTTTTCAGGTATTGCACCTGGGTAAAGGAACAGAGCAGGCAGGGCTTGGGTCCCTGGACCAGAGCAGTGTGTGTGTGTGATGGGTGATGTGTGGTGCGGCCCTCTCCAACCGGAGGAGGGAACAACAGGTGCTAAGACCCACGTACCGGTGACCCAGTCCCCACTGTTCAGGGGACTAGATTTGGGCCTCTTCCCTCTTTATCCTGGGGTTCGAGCTCTGGGAAGCCTACCTTCTGTCTGACACTCTCCAGGTCGTCGTACCCCACCCACTGGTTGCCCTTGGTGGCATAAGGGACCTGTTGGCCCAGGAGTCTGTGGACCGTGGCACCTTGGAGGAAGTCACAGATCTGAGAAGAGAACAGAGCAGGGATCGTGTGGGGAGTGGCACCTGACTCAGCAGGTGGTGGGGAGAAGTCAGCCCCACCAGGTCTCCGACAGCCCCTCTCCCTGGCTTCTACTGGTTGGTGTAAAACAAGTGGGAATCCAGCATTCCTCTTTGCCACAGCCAAGGGGCTGTAAGGGGGTTCCTTACTGGCTTCCTCCCTCATATAGATTTGAGGACAAGTTCAGGGTCTCACAGAGGAACAGAGACTAGACTGAAACACAGAACCTGCCTCCTGGCCCTGGATCTTTCCCATGCTGGAAGACTCCACTTGGTGGCTGGGGCGGGCATGTGCCTGTATCTGCTGGAGATGGAGTGGCAGAGACCTCAGCGTGTCGTCTCTTTCTCAAGGGCGTGACGCCAACAGAGGATTGTTTTATTCCCAGAGGAGAAAAGTAGTATGAGGGCAGTCCCTTTCCCGGGGTGGTGTTGGTGGTGTTGGAGCTCTCATGGTCTCCTCTGGCTCCCTTACCTCATAGTAGGCGAGTATCCCCTCCTCCTTGGTGAACCGGCCGGGCAGCCCCGGTCCCAAGATGGGAACTCCAACGCCAGTCTCAGAGGAGGCCAGCGTGAAGCTCTTGCCAAAGGCAGGGATGCCCAGAAGCAGCTTATTGGCTGGGACCCCTCGTCTCATCACATAGCCCACAGTATAGTCCTGGATGGGGACAGGGCAGGGAGGAATGTGTGGGTGGGGTGGTATGGGCAAGGACCCCTGGGCTTCGACTCCGGGATGTGGGCACCCTGGCAAGTGGCAGAGCTTTGGGCACACACAGCATTGCTGAATCTGTCAGGACTTGCATCCTCTTGACCCCGGAACAGGGGGCTGTGGTGTCCGGTGGTCCCACGCCAGGCTCCGTGGAAATCATAGGTCATGAGACTGATGAAATCCAGGTGTCTGGGGAGGAAGGGCAGAGCGGGAAATTAAAAAAGCCCTTGGCTGCACATCCAAGGCCCCAGCAGGATATGAGCTGGGGCAGGAGGCAGCTGATGCGCAAGCTGTTAAGCCAAGTCCCAGCGTTCCCAGTGAGCACCACCCTGGCTGCTGGCCCACCTACCACGGGCCACAAGGGCACTTGGGGTGAGAGTGGGTCCCTGTATCCTGGCCCAACATGCGTGTGGGAGCCGGCCTCCATCCCACCTGCTGCTCCCCTCCAGGATAAGCTGACCGATAGCAACATGGGAAGTTGCTGAGAGGAGGTGCGACAGGGGAACACAGGGACCAAAAAGCGATGGAAGCCAAAGACACGAGAGGGTGGGAGGAAGTGTCCTTCGGGGCTCGGGAGCAGTGGAGGCGGACTGCCCAGCACAAGCTTCTGCCACTGGGAAAATGGTGCAGAATGCCTTCACCACCCCCAAAGTCTGGACAAATACCAAGTCTTTGCCTCTCTAGGGTCCTAAAGAAGAGCCTAAGGTCACTGTTCCAGCTTGCAGCTTTCCCGGAATCCCTCTGGAGCCATCAGGCCACTGGGCTTCTGGCAGCCATTCTCAGGGGGCTCTGGTGTTGGTCCCTGATGAGGGGGTGGCCAGCGGGGAGGGATGTGAAGTTGTCTCATTTTGGAAACCAAGTCTTTTTGTTCTGTGTCGGTCCTGTAGGCACCGGTGTCCTGCCCCAGCCTGGCATGGGGAAACTTGACGACTGGGTGGGTGTGTGGTGTCTATACCCTTTCTAGAATGCAGCCCTGGCAACTGTCAGCAGATCAGCAGCACCCCAGAGGAAAAGGAAGGGCGGGCATTGTTATGTCCCATTCGACAGATGTGCAATTGTGGCACAAGGTAGGGAAGTGACCTATTCCTGGTCCACAAGAACAAGGCCTGGAAGAGTTAGGACTCTCAGACTCTTGGTCCCCCTTGTGTACTTGGGATACCGGGGTGGGTAAAGGGGGTGGGGAGGAGGAAGAAGAGAGGTGGCCGAGGTGTGAGGGACATTGGATACGCACCTGGATATCTGGGCGATATCATAGCCGCTGTCAAGGGCCACCTTCCCTGCGGACACCGCAGCGCTCAGCAGCAGCTCATCTGCTCCACCCTGGGCCTCCCTGGCGAACTCAGCCTTCATTTCCTGGGGGAGGTAGGTAGGAGAGTGAAAGGGACCTGGGGACAGCAGGGGAGAGGCTGTGAGCTCTGAGCCCCTGGCTGCCCTTGGGCTGTGACGAGCAGCTTATAGAGATGACAGTGTGACCTCAACTTTTTCCTAAAATCTGTTTGGACCCCAAGC